GGGGGGGGGGGGGGGGGGGGTAGTAAGTGGTGGGTGCGGGTGCGCACGCCCATGCTCATCTCTAGTTTCCCAATCTCAATTTTCCAGTCTTTCATACACGTACTCCCAAGAAAAAGGATGGCGTTGAGCAGCATAACGCACACTGCAAGGGGACAACCCAACAAGCTCGGAGCGTAGGCAGGTAGAGGACTCATAACTCTATCTGCTAGCAGAAAGCACTCTCTGGGCACTCAACTCGCTGCCAAACGCTCAAAAAAAAAGGACTGCCACATGTGATGGCACACTCAGAGAGGAAAAACTCTGCTCTTCCAATCGCTGCATGGATACAAGTTACTGAAGTTGACTCCTAGTTCTCTACTCCAAAAGCGCCGTACCTCCTGCAGCTGATCAGAAAGATCAGTGATTGGGCTCCGAGCTAGAAAAACAGCGACGCCCCTTCACCACGACCAGCAATCGCTCCTCAAACGATCTTTTGATGAAAAGATGATGACTGAGCAGCAGATCAACAGTTCGTCTGAGGGTGTGCAGATCACCAACTGTGTGCCAACCTCCAAGACAACCGAGGAAACGAATTGCCAATTAACGTGTCCGTCAACACAAAACCCACCATCTATAGGAAATGTGCGCATCTTCAACCATGATCTCCTTGTTTGATAGCTCACGGTCAAAACGCCATCACAAGTCAAACAGGTTTCCATCGGTCATCTCTTGCTACTTTCCTCCCAGTTATTGCCCTACTGCTAAGATGAGCGATAAAACAAGACCAACAAAAACATCATTAATCAATAAAAAGAATTATCATGTGCAAATCAACGAGTACCAAACCTCTCCACAAGAAACACCTGGGACGATCCGTAACCGTTCATAAACTCTAGCAGGCCCCCCATCTACAGCCAGAGGTTCGTCATGCCTGTGCACAGTCATATGCACTTTTCACCTCGCTCTCCCAAATGGCGTCCATGGCAAAATGGCGTCCATGGCGGCATTCTGAAAGTCCCGTTTATTTGAATTGTTCGAATGTAATTCGATTCCCTAACGATCCGCAGATATCGCACAGACTATAAATCTTCCCATCAACGCTCTCTCTCTCTCTCTCTCTCTCTCTCTCTCTCTCTCTCTCACACACACACACACACACACACACCTGAACACTGAAACGTTTGCATGAGCTGTAACCCTACACTCCCAGGAGCCCGCACAGGGGCAGGGAAGGGGGTCAGAAGGGCAGAAGTTAAAGAACCCTAATATCAACATATCAGGACGAAGTCAATCACCTCTCCTTCGCAGCAGTTATTTGGATTGCATCAAATCCAAATCAATTCGGAACAGTTGAGACCATGTCAGGGCCGATCGAATTCTCAACAGAAAACAGAGAAGCTTTCACTGTCTCGTTCTGCCTGCTCTACCTCTACGAATCTACAAGTCTATTAAATCAAGATTAAAATTAAAAATCAATCACTCTACTTCCTGAGTGCTAGAAATTCCAATCCCATCCACAACATCCCCAAACTCCATACAACACCCCTCTCTCTCTCTCTCTCTCTCTCTCTCTCTCTCTCTCTCTCTCTCTCTCTCTCTCTCTCTCTCTCTTAACTTCTCTTCACTGCCGCTCCCAATTATCCACCTCTCCTCTTCATTGTCTTTCTCCCTGCACAAAATAGTACATTCCTCGTGGCCCTATTCGTGCATGACTTGCCGGACTAACATCGTAAGCGATTGGAATAACAGGCAGGACAGCTTCCCTACAGCGGAATGGATCATACCTCTAGTCAGCGCTAAGTACCATCATGCAGTCCTTCCATCCATCTGTTCCCTACCCTCACACCCTCATCGCTCTAGCACCCACCAGCACCGGATCGCTCCTCTCTCAAAGTCATGTCAACACCACGACCACACAACAAATTTCTCTACAGGCGTTCTCCCATACGAGAGCATCAAGAACCAAAAGACGCCACACCACATTACCAATATCGACAGCATATCATTATTTAACGCGAGATCAGGACCACCATTACCCCGTCCACGTCCCGACCTCCTTACACGAACCTGCTTCGCCAACACACCCGGCATCCTGAACTTCACTGCTGCTCATCTCATCAGACAGAATCAGTGATCATTTTTTGTCCACCGTGCACCTCCATTCTTTCTTCTCCTTGTTCTCCTTCTCCTTCTCCTTCTTCACTTGTGCGACGAGCATGCAGGGGCACCTTTTCCATCACAAGGTGCCCATTTAGAGCCACCCTGTACTGGATCCGATACCTTCGGTCTTCTTCAGCCGGCAGCCGCAGCCTTGGGACCTCCCCTCGTTGATACACGGATGGCCATCGACTGCCAACCTTGAATTTGATACCTCCACCAGTCAGGAATGCACCTGCAGCTGTCAAGAACACAGAGACAACCGTATTCCACATCCAGCTGCGCTGCCAGATCCCACCTGCAAGCCCCCTCTGCTGCCGGACCGTTAGGACTGGAAGACCTTGTGTCTGAATGTCAGGTAGCTCCTCCTTCTGAAGATGAGCGGTACCAGCAATAATCTGGAGCCCTTCTGGGAACCGTAGGCGGGAGGTTGCAACATCCACACTTCCCAACTCTGCCTCAGAATCGTAATCTGAGCTAGAAAGCATAAAAGAATCGTCAACGACACAGCAGACACCCCCCCCCATGTACCCTGAACTAGGGGAGCTTGGAACCAATTCTGACCTGGGACTGATGGAAGAAGACGCAGACGAAAACGATGCAGAGGAGTCGTTCGCCATCGACGCTGTGTCGGTTTCTCTCGGGCACTGGTCGGCGCTTGGATGTGCTCCTGAGGGGCACCAAGCACCGCCGCGCATGCAAACCTCAGAGCTGTCATTTGCCATGACGACGGACGGGCTGCACACATGTGAACCGGAGACGCCAGTCCCGGATTGCTTCCCACAGTCATCAGCAGTACCCTCTCTACGCTTCTCTCTTTTCCCCTTCGCCCTTCTCAACCCCCTCCTGGCCCTAGCCTCCCTCGTCCGACTGCTGGTGGAAGAAACGCCGACAGATCTTTCGCCGGACACAGGTGGCAAGTTGTTCTGGCAGCAACTGTAGCAAAAGCAGCAGGTGACTGGAGAACGGCCAAGGCTGTCCCGTGGTACATCACAGTCGCTCACATAGATCGTGTCGAGATAAGCGTTGCTGGCCAGAGCATAGCACATACTATCACCTGGGGACTCAGCATCTGCATCAAAGGCACTGTTCTCGGTATCTGACAAACTTGCGTCAGAGAGACACAAGTCGTCCATGCCTCCAAGGATCCACTGTGTGTCTACAGCCAACCTACAAGGCTCCGCCGCCATCACTACTCTCTTCGTGATAGTCAATACTTCGACATCTTGGGCTAAGATCTTGCAATCCTATGAGCACAACAACAACGACACCAAAAAAACATCCGGGCACCGATCACACACACACAGACCACTTTTCAGGCCGGTTTCATTACATGCAAAGGATAGCTTCGCATCTTACAGTTGTGCTGCCACACACACACATACACATACACACAGAAACACACGCACACACACACACACACACACACACACACACACACACACACACACACACACAGCGAACATGACATTGGGTATTCATGGCTGAGTGGGTGTGTAGAGTGGGTTTTATGGCTGTGATAGATTAGCTTCGTAGACTTACTGCCGTTCTTGTCAGGGGTTTGGACCGACAGTCTGCTATGATTGCAGGGTTGGTGAGAGTAAAGTCGACCACTGTTCTCTCTCAGGGTATTGCTAACACTGTGCGACGTAGTGAATCCTTATCCATCAGTCAAACATCCTGAGCAGACTGTCGAGGTTCAACCTCTTGATGGGTCGGTGAGTCGGTGAAAGTCCAATGACACAGTCTGGCACAGTCATGCTTTTTTTTTCCAGTGGAGTTGTGTGTAGCGAACATGACAAAACACACACACACACACACACACACACACACACACACACACACACATATCATGGAAAAGGAAAGCTCATAGGCGTATGGTAAAGGCTACCTTCTTCCCCCGAATACAACGTACGGTAATTATAGCCGTCTTTGCGGTATCTTTCAATCTAAATACAGCTATAACGACCATACGTTGTACTCGGGGGAAAAAGGTAGCGTCAGAATACTCGGGAGAAATCTCCCTGCTTTTCTTTCCCCCCCTTGGCTTGCTATCTTAATCCCGTTTCGCTCGCCGGTGATAACCAGACGGGACTCCCCTCGCAGAATATAAACAGGCTCTCGCCTTCCCAAAAAAAGAAAAAAAAGAGGTCGTCTGTGAAATCAGGTGGTGATATGATATGCCACAGGTGGCAATGGCTGGCATGAGTAACAGACAATCAGCAGACAAAGCAGATTGCTGAAGGCTAGATTAGACAGGGAAACACACCGCAACCCGCCACGTCAGCATCACCAGATGACAATAAAAATCGGACATCGAAAAGGAACCAAACATAGACTTGTGGAAGAAACAGAGGGAGAGAGGGAGAGAGTACACGAGCGGACAAGACAGAACGCAAGCGCGTCAAGACGACCTTCCACCCTCCACCCTCCGGCATCATCAGCCGTCACAAACCCTAATCAGTCACCCACAAAAGCATGATGGGCAATCAATCAGACAATCTCCGCTTTCTTCTCCTTGGCCATCTTCTTCCTTGCTCTCCCTCCTCCCCATTCCCTTCCCCCCCACGCTCCCTCTTCCAGCACTTTCTGACGCGTTTCTACCCCCTCTATAGTCCTCCCGAATGCTCATTGTCGACTGCACCTTCCCACCGTACCACCGCCATCATCTCTCTCTCATTACAGGCTAGCAAGCACTCCATATCCGCTGCATCAACGTTCGCCCAGGTCCAATAGGCCATTTTCACATGGGCTCCATCATTTGTGCTCAAGTACGATGGACTCCGCGATTTTCTTACTCAGAGGAGATACGTCCTCCTCGCCACTTGGTCCTCGCGACGCCACTCTCGACCGGTAGAGGGGATATATCACCTTCATACAGTTTCTACAAATCTTAACGACGGCAACACAATCTCAGCAGATAGCTGCTACCACCGGTAATGCGCAATCAACCCATGGAAGCGAATGAAAGGTCAATTCGAAACGCTGAGCGCAGTTTTGACAGGCCTAGTGCACACACAGCTTAAAGTTCGCCGATGACGTGGCCAGCTAACGGGGAGCAATGACATGGCGACGAAACCTCGGAAACGAAAGGAGGAGAGGCGCAGTGGGGCAAATCGAATCATTGATGAGGCACGCAACAGCATCAACTTCACTGAAGACGCGAGCTTGATTAATTAGTCCGACCCGAAGCCGCG